AGGAGGGTAGAGAGAATAGGGCAACAATGAATGAATGGAAACCCAAAATCTCTGTAAATGTTTATGAAAATTAATAAAATATAATTATAGGGGGGGGGGGAAAAGCTCTACTTAAAAATATTGCCGCCAGAAATGACCTATAGCTGATTCAATGGATTTTCAGAAGCAGTAAACCACATGAGAGGAAACTGCCCGTATTTCACCCTCAGAGCAGCTGGTGGATTTGAACCAAGTGCCTTTGAGATTGTAGTGCAGCTTCTTACCAATGTGGCTTTTTCAAGGCCACAAGAGCTCTTTAAAAAGATTGCTGTTGTTGTGTATTACCAAGTCAAAACTGACCCATAGCTGACCCTCCAGGGACCCTTTCAGAGACAAGAAATCACATGGAAGGCTCATCTTTCTCTCTCAGAGCAACTGGCAGATTCAAACTGCTTACCCTTGTGTTTTCAGCACAATTCCACAGCACTAAGCCACCAGAGTGTCCAAGTGGACGCTTCATTGCTAACCCAAAGGCACATGGCTCAAATCCACTAGTTGCTCCTCTGGAGAAAGATGGGTAATGGATTCCTATGTGATCTACAGCTGCGAAAAACTGCTGGAGGGTCAGCTATGAGTTGGTCTCGACTCCATGGTACACAACCACAAACAACATTTAAAAGCTTAAGTTTAACAGAAACCCCATCAGATTTAGAAAAAGTTATTCCTACTAATTTGCCTGGAAACATTAGATCTCAATTAACTTAAATCAGACATGATTATTAAAAGCTGGTCTGGTTGGCTTCAATATTACAGGAATTTGGCAACTAAGTTCTGATACTGTGTCCCAGATTATAGAATTTAATAACAAGGAAAAACCAAAAGACATTTATTCAATAAAAAGGATATTCTGAAACATTTTTATATCTGCACACACACACACACACACACACATCTGTAAGAGTTACAGTCTTAAACTACTAGACACTTCATAAATGTGTCAACTCAATTAATTTTTACACCCCTATATATATGTATGTATGTATGTATGTATGTATGTATGAATGTATCTATCTATCTATCTATCTATCTTGGAAGCAGGAGTGGCATCCACCTCCTAAACAACATTCTTCCAGAAACTCTATGAATTTGAGAAATGTCGATAGCTATAGAAAGGCTTCAGACCTTTTGTACATAGGGTCATTATGAGTCGTGCTGGAATCGAAGGCAATCCACAAAAACAACTATACATAGATCACTATAACTTATTACTTCCTTTATTTATAAAACAGAAAAATAATAAACCAAAGCAAACCCTAGATAGTTTTTATAGTTTTTATTAGAAGACTTTTGTTACTATTTGAAGGTAACTTTAATCTTGCATTTACCTGTTAGAAGAACTAGGAGTAGAAAATATGTCGATGGCTGGTGCAGTCATTATACCTCCTGCTGAGGTGGATACAGGAGAGGCTGCAGTTGTTAAAGAGGTATGAGGTTTCTTTGCAAGTTCTTTTAGTCGCTGTTCCTGTTAACAAAGGGAAAGCACAAGAAATTAAAAAAACAAGATTTGTTTATAAGGCCTCTGAGGCAGAGTGGGACACATTTTCTCATTCTGTTTTGATAGCAGAAAGGTATTTGCTGACTGTTTTATTCAATTATTTGTTGTCAGGATGAATAATGATGACTTACTGAGTTTCATCCCATTCGGATGGTTTGACATTAAATATAGCTAAGTCTATACAGAGAGCTCTTTTACTGTCTGAAAATCTGTAAACGTTTTTCCAAGTAAGGAGAATGCATACACCTACCTTTAAAGCTTTCAAACGAGCCTGTTCTTCCTCTAAAGCTGCCTGCTTTTCCCTTTCATCCACTTTGGTTAGAGACAGGCCAGTGCTTGCCAAGGAAGAGACTGCATTGGAAAGTGTTGTTGCCCTAGGGTAATCAGACAAAGATGATTTAGAGTTTTACAATACATGTCACTTCACAAACAACCTATGAAATGGTCTGGCAAACTTCACTATGACTGTGTGCTAAAACTGAACTTAACTCTGGAATAAAAACCAGTACTTCAGATGGAATAGTCAACTCACTGACTTACAGGATTAAAGCAATTAGAATGCTGTTGATTTATAGACAGAATCACTGCTTTTAAAAATGTTAGACTGGGGGAAGGGTTCACAGTAGTGTGGGAACAAAGTCTCTCCTAGGTGCCAAAGGAAGGAATCAATACAACTTAAGAGTTTACATACTCTCCAAGGAAATTGTTGCTAGGTAAGCAGGACTGAGTTTATCACATCACTGATTTATGTAAATCAGAACACTTTACTTCTTCTCCACACTTTCTTTTTTTTTCTTTCTTAAGTGACTAGGCTTTATTATTTTGGCTTTTCTAAAGATCTAAATTCAGCCTTTAACTGTAATTAAAAGTAAGTACTGAAATCTATTAATTACATAGTAACAGAATTTTCTTTACAAAATACGCAAATAGTATGAAAAGAACCAAAGGAAATTTTTACCTTTAAACAATATTCCCTCCATAATTTAAAAGGAAAATATGAGAATTACTCATAAAATAAAACACAAGAATTACTAAAAAACAAATATATTTACAAGCCTGATATGAATGCTGTGCTAAATGATCTTGGTCTTGGACATCAGTTCAAAGTTCAATATCAAACCAAATTACTAGTGGGTCAACTGCAACTCACGGTAACTGTCCAAAGGCTTTTCAAGGCTTTCCATCTTTACAGGAGACTTCTCATCTTTCTCCCACTGAGCTCTGAACCACTGATCTTTCAACTGGCACTGTGACAAATACTGAACCTACCTACCTGAACTCCTTCCAAGGATTAGAAGACTGCTTAAAAGATGAGAACTAACCACATTAGAGAAAGATAAAATCTGGTGTCAGCCATTAAGTCTGGGTTCAAACATCACTATTGTACACTTCAGACTAACTATTGTGAGAGTTAATCGAATGAATATAAAAGTCTTTTGTAAATATAAAATATCATGAAAATTACCGTATTATATCAATCTTCAGAGAAATTTTGATACTATAGAATAAATTCTAAACCAAGTGGTCAATAATATCATTATTTTGACCAACATTTATTCAGATTAAGGAATAATTCTCAGAGTTTATATGCAGTAACCAACTTGATCTTGACAGTAACAGTATAAAGTTCTTTGTACTTGAGCTGGGTCCTTCTACTCCCTCAAAAATATTATTCTTGCTCTTTTTTCTGCAAAGAATTACATACCTGCTTGCTGCTGTAGAATCTTTGATTTTCTTTCCTTCCAAGGAAGCTAAATGTTGTTCCAAAGCATCAAGAAGACTGCTAGGGGCCTAAAATTGTACAAATGTTAAGAATTTAATGAAAATTAAAACACTGGTCAAAATAAATCAAGTGCAATCTAACAGAGAAAAAAACAACATTCAACTAGATATGTTCCAACTGTACTAATTAACTGACATTTTAAGTACTCAGTTAAGAATGGCAATTTTATTTTTACTACAACAGCATGACCCAGTATTTATACATAATATAATCAAAAGTAAGGTAAAAAATAAAGATTTTAAATTTAAAATTGCACAACATTGTGAAGGAAATAAAAAATGGCCTAAATAAGTGGGAAGCCATCTTTTTTTTTTATGAGTCAGAATACTTTATATTAAGATTACAATACTACCCCAAAGCACTCTACAGATTTAACAAAATTCTTATCAAAAGTCCAACAGTCCTTTTTGCAGAAAATGAAATGCCAATTCCCAAATTCACAAGGAACTACAAAGATTTCTATATAACCAAAGCGATTTTTAAAAAGAATTATCAAAATAAGAAGTTCTTAATTAAAATTTACAAAGATGTAATAAAGAAGTGCAGCACTGGTGTAAAGAGATATAGAGACCAATGGAACAGACTTCATAGTTTAGAAATAATTCCATATGTATTAGTCAAATATCAGTTAACTTGACCTGCACATGCAAAAGAATAAAGCTAGACCAATAACCTCCCACCGTGTATGAAAATTTTACTAAAAATTAATCAACAATTTAATATAAGAATGAAAACTATCAAATTCTTAGACCAAAAACATTGTGAATCAATTTTTGGCAACATAACCTAAGTATGACATCAAAAGCATTAATATCAAAAGACAAAATGAGACTTTAGAAAATGAAAAATTTTTGTACATTACTGCACTTTTATCAATAAAGAGAGGAGACAATCGATCGAGTGGGGAAAAGTACTAGAGCACCACACATCTGATAAAAGTTGAGTATACAGGATATACAAAGAACCCTCATAATAAAACAAATGACAAAATCAGGAAAATGGGCAAATGACTTAAGAGTTTTCCCAAAGAAGGTATTTAAATGGCCATTAAGAACATGAAGTGATGCTCAAAGAAGTTAGTGATGTTGGAAATACAGATCAAAAACATAAGACACAATGTAGTATCTACTTCTCTCAGAGAAAAGGTCTCAATGTAATTTTTAAAAATCAGTCATTAAAAACCTTATGAAGTACCTCTTCTTTACACAGCTCTCTCTATAGAGCTGAAGTAGATTCAATGGCAAATGGTTACTAGTTTATCAGGCACAGTGCTAGATACTCAGGAAACAAGACAATGAGATTCCTATCTAACAGTAAAAGAAACAGCAAACCCAGAAATTATTTTTTTAAAAAAAGGAAGAAAATCTTGTAAAAAATAGTACTATTCTCAAGAAGCTGCACTGCAATCCCAGAGGCGCACGGTTCGAATCCACCAGATGCTCTGCCGGGAAAGGAGGAACAATATTCTCCTGTACCAGTCAGATCTGATTTGATTGTACACACACACACACACACACACACACTAATAATAATAATAATAAAAATTTAAAACAAATAGTACTATTCTATGAAGAAGAGCACAGTAAAATAAGGAAATAAAAAGAATAGTCACTGCCTAAATTCATTTCTTGAAGGATTCTCCCTCCACCTCCCCGGGTGGGGGGGGGATGCTGGGAAAGAAAACAGAATTGTATTATGAAGAAATCTTAGTCCTCTAGTGCTGTTTTAAAAGAAATACCACAAGACAGTAGCTTTAAAAAACAAAAATTAATTTTCCCTATGTAAAAGGCTAGAAGAGTACCAGCTTTAAGTAAGTCTTTCTCTTTTGGCTCTGGAAGTGGTTCTTGTCTCTAAAAATCTCTACCTGCTGTTGTTAAGTGCCATCCAGTCAGGTATGAACAGACCTGACCCGTGTCCTATCCTATGTCATCTTTATAGTCTCAGACACACTAAAGCTCATTGCTGAAGTCACTGTGTTAATCCATCTTGTTGGGGTCTTTCTCTCCTTTGCTGACACTGCAACTTTACAAGAATGATTTTCCTTTTCAAGGAATAACACCGCCTACCTACATGTCCAAAGTATGAAAGACAAAGCTTTGCCATTGTCTCCAGAGAGAACCCTAGCTGTACCTTCTCCAAGATATTCCTTTGGCAGTTCAGGGGATTTTCAGTACTCTCTTCCGGCACCACAACTCAAAGGCAACAACTGTTGTTCTGTCATCCTTATCCATTAGTCCATCTCTCTGATGCAAAGCAGGTAACTGAGAAGACCATGGCCTGATCAGCGACGCCAAATTGACATCATTGCTCTTTAGGACTTCGAAGAAGTCCTTGACAGTGGAAGTGCTCAATGCAATGTATTTCCTGGCTTCCTGACTGCCAGTATCAAAAGTGCTGATTATTGAACCAAGCAAGATGAAATCACTGACAGCTTTAGTCCTTTCTCTATCTATCATTATGCTGACTGTTGCTCCTGTGGTAAGGATCATTGTTTTCTTGATGATGAGGTGTCACTGACACCACAGGCTTAATCTTCTACGTCATTTCATTTCCTCCTTACCAACAGCAAGCCAGGTCATGTCGGCTGGAAGTCGCCTAAGTGTCTTCCTACAATCCTGCTACCACATTCCACTTCCAAGAGTCCAGCTTCACAAATCATTTGCTCAGCACAAATATCTAACAGGTATATGAACAAAGGATCTATCCCTGATGCGCATTCTTTCTGATTTTTAACTTGCTGCTGTTGTTAGGTGCTATCAAGTTGAGTATGACTCCTAGCAACCACATGAGTAACAGATCTGAAGCCTCTCTTTCCTATGCCATCCTCACAATCTTTGGCACATCTGGATCCATTGCTGCAGTCACTGTGTCAATACTCCTGACTGAGGATCTTCCACTTTCATTATCCTTTCACCTCCCCAAACATGATGTCCCTGCCCAAGGAATAGCCTCTCCTAGCAACATGTCTAAAGTATGTGAGACGAAGCTTAAACATCTTAGCTTCCAAGGAGCACTTTCTCCAGAATACATCTGGGGTTTGTTTCTCTCTGGAGATACATGGGATATTCAGTACTAACCTCTAATACTACATTCAAAGGATCAATTATTCTTCTGTCACCTTTATTTACTGACCAGCTCTGAGGAGCACAGTAAATTACTAGAAAGTGTTTTTCAGATACAGATAATTGTAATATGGCTTGTTATACTACCTATCTTCTCCTTCCCTAATCTCTTGTAAGAGACTCTCACTCAAAATACACTCCACTAATCTAATATACTATAAAATATGCTACACTAATCTTAAATGTGGTAAGTAGCTGTGCTGCAATCCCAAAAACAGTGGGTTCACAAGGATAAAAATTGTGTAAGACCGTTACTGCAGAATGAGTATAAGGATCTAGGAGGAGTGAGAGAGGCTGGAAGCAGAGGAATGTGGATGTATAGGGGGAAAAGGGGATTAATCATTGGGTTGTACAATTCGATGGGTGGGGGGAGTGAGGGAAATGTAAAGAATTTGTTCAAATTTCTATTGTTATTGTTATGTGCCATCGAGCCGCCTGTGACTCATAGCGACCCTATGTACAACAGCCCTAAACTCCGCTCTGTCCTGTGCCAATCACACTGTCTCTAACACTCTCATCCCAATTATCCCAGTCACTGAATCAATCCACCTCATAGAGGGCCTTTCTCTCCTGCGCTGTCCCTCCACCCTCCCAAGCATGATGTCCTTCTCCAAGGACCTGTCTCTCCTCACAACATGTCCAAAGAATGTTAGACGGAGCCTCA